AATCTCTAGTCATTCTTTCTTTTTTCTTTGTTTTGTCTCATCGTATATGTTCAGTTCAATGTATTACACATTCCATTCCATTGCTTTTTTTTAAAAAATCACCTTTTTAAAGCTTTATTCTAACTCATTCATTATTATTGTGAATTAAATTTTCTGAAAATAAAATGGCTATTGATAGATAGAGTATTATTTTCATTAGAATAAAGCTAACTTTGTAAAGTATTTACCTAGGGGAGTTGGAAGCCCCCAAATGCCCTGGTACGGCCGAGAGTGAAGAGAGTCAGCTCTCCCTCTTGAAATGCTTTCACATGGCCACGCGTATATAGCCTGTGCCAGGGAAGTCCAACTCACTGCCTTCTCGTGGCATTACTGTTGTTTACGAAAATAAGAGGACGAAAAGCGAATGTCCGGTGCTTTAACCAGATCCCAAACCAATGGTGCACATGGGCTGGCTCAGGTATCCTGCGGGAACAAATGGCGTATGAACCAATCGTTGGTCACCGGCTACCATGGGACTGCATCTTTTTACGATGCTCCACTGCCTTGTGGATCAGACCTTCAGGTCGAAGTCTCTGGGCGTGGCCTCCTAAGAAAACCACCTGGTTCGGTTTGGGAACCCATACAGTATCACAGTCCTCACACAAATCAATTGAGATTCGTGTGGCGCATATGTATTTGGTGCCTCCTTGTACCAATGTTTATGTGTTAAAATAATAAATAAATAGTGAAGTTGGGAAACTCATATGGACTTCAGGATCCTGATGGAAAAAAATGGCATATAAACCTCATTTGTTAGTAACCGGTCATCATGGGATTGTATCTCCTAACGTTGCCCCACTATCTTGTGGATCAAATCTCCGGGTGTGGCGCCCCTAAAATAACCACCTACTTCAGTTTGGGCATCCAGGCAGTATCCCAGTTCTTACACAAACCAAGTGACTTATGTGGCACATATGTATTCGATGCCTCTTTGTACCAATATTTATGTGTTCAAATAAATAAATAACAATTTTTTGCGCTGTAGATGATGCTTAAATATTTGAAGTAATAAGTGACATATCCTAGTTTAATTAAGATGTCAAAAAGACAGGTTCAAATCTAGTTTCGTTCCTCTGAAATACAAAAGGAACCTTATTAGGACACTACATCATAGAATCAAGACTATATGCTCTGTGGATACGATTGAAGATGAAACAAACGCATTGTACATAACCCTGAAGGGAAATCAATATCCCGAGTAATTTATAAATAAAAAATATAGCCAATAAATACAGCATACAGAATACCTAACTAAATAAAAAGACTTTATGTACGCACCGAGTGAAATGCTAAAACCTAAGCAGATCAATTCAAAGGACTTTTAATGCAGATAAACAACAACTAATGTTCTCCACACGACCAATAATCACTCCGAGGTTGAAAGATAAATTACCTACTCCCTTCTGTATCTATCAATTCAACTGCTCCTGTGGAGCAAGTTATATTGGCAGATGTTCTAGGAATTTGTACATTCGGGCTCGTGAGCACTTCCCAGTATGGTTAAGCAAAGATGTATTTAAAACAGTTAACAGCTCCATCTTAGACCATCTAGTACAGACAGGACATACAGCCAACATGGAGCAATCTTTTGCAATAATCTATTATGTTAACAGCAGTCTACATAATTCCGTCAGACTGTGAATCCTACAGACGGCTCAAGCAATTACTATTCAGACCAAAACGTTAGGGCTTTGAATCCAAAAGAAGTATGTTCAGCCACTCCTTTGACCCTGGTCAACTAGCTAATAATCGATTTTATAATATGGTGACGTAATTTGACTAATGTTCATTTTATGTCCCTAACATTGTTGCTATTATTATCATTACACTTGGCAACCTTTTTAGAGGAATTTATTCAATATCCACCCCTAAATCTACTATATCTGACCTAATTCATATTATTCTACATATTACGTAATTTCTGATTTTTATTCCATTATTCTCTTTCACCGCATGTTGACCATATTTATTCTGACCATTATTTATCTCACGATTTCATTTCACTTATAAATTGATTCAAGTCAACAACTTCATATTGGTCCGCTCCTATATGAACGATCTGATTTGATTCTATATATGACAAATAGCAATCCTTGATTCACATATTACAATTATATCTGCTGGGATCACCGGGTAAGTAATAGTGAGGTTAAACGCAGGGCACTAGGGAATGATGGTAAATCAGTTGATGAGGTTATGAATCTTCATCGACTGAGATGGTTGGGCCACGTGTTGCGTATGCCTGAACACAGATTAGCACGACGCGCAATGATGACTAGTGCAGGGGATAATTGGAAGAAAGTTAGGGGCGGCCAAACCAAAACGTGGCATCAGTGCTTGAAGTCACTAACTTCTGGTCTGAGCCATGTTGGGAGATTCAGACTGCCTGGTTGGGGTCCGCGTGACTATCGTAACCAATTGTTGGAGACTCTTGGTGACATGGCTCAGAATCGATCACAATGGAGTCGGTGTATACACTCTCTGTCTTCCTTAAATTAAGAGATTAAAATCACTTCAAATCTTTCTTTCTAGAAACTAATTCTTTCTTCCTGTACTATCTCTTTATAGACAAGCTTTCTTCTATATATTACCACCACTGAATTAACTACTATGAATCCGGTGTTCATCTTGTTGTGCTAATGCGGTATGGCAACTTGGATCGATGCATATACGTACCTGGTCCTACGTTGCAGCTGACTGACTGACTGATTTTCAAATGATATACTCTGCCTTAATTTGGTCCAATTTTATGAATGATTAATATGGATATGAGATAATTGTAGAATATCTGATGAGAAATTCATTGAAATGAATATTCTTCATTGCGTTTTTTAATATAATCGGAATTTTTCAGCGAATAATGAATGGAACAAAAAATTAAGACTTGATCTAATATGTGTGAATTCATAAGTTTATAATTACTTGAACATACAGTATTGTGCCATTTCGACTATGGTCGGACTACTGAATAAGTAGGAGAATGAAATAATGCAGAACGTAAATTCCTTTTTGACTATGTAACCATAATAACTGATAATCAGCTGGATCCCGACCTACTTTTTGATAGCTGATTAATATCAAAACTCTATACTACCAAAACTTTACAAATGGTTTTGAAAATTTGTAGTTTGTGGAGAATTCACTTAAAATTGATATTTTCTGTACCCCACTTTTAGTTATAAGCAATCACCTCCAATGATTCTCCACGATAGAACTGTTGATACGCCTCACCATAGTCAATAACACGACTTTCTACCGAAATCTGTTGTTCTTTAACCAGCGTCCTAGCCAACATACAACAGAGTCCAACATTCGTATCATGTTATTTATCTCGACCGAGTTTTCCATTGTTTTTGTGTACCTTTTTTACTGAAGGAACAGAAACCTTTTTTTCTTTAGTTGACGAATACAAGACAACTAGGGAACCTAGATTTAAGTTTATAAGCGTTTATGATTAAGATAACAGATCAGTGCCAGCAACTGCGTCCGAATAGTAATCACGCTTGAGGACACGAGCCATTTACCCAAATAACAATGAGTTAGTATTCTAATTTGGGATGTAACGAATAGAGAACAATTGCATAAGTCTCAGTTCTTAACTACTCGAGGTAAAGCAAACAGTTTCTTGGATAGATAGTTGGATTATTTGCCCTACGGTTTCAATTAATTGAACTGTCAATCAAACTGACTTAAAACGTGAAAACATCATGGAAATTTTAGCTAGCTTGTACTAACTGCAGTTAGTTGAATAATTATATGTATGGGTTTGTCTTCTCTTCAAGATCTAAATAAGAGCTTGTTGGCGTAACCGCAAAACACATCATCTAATCTGCATGCAAGGTTAAATAATGTCCATACGTCTAAATCGAAGCAGGCGGTTTTCTCAAGGGGTCATTCTCCGAGCCTTTGGCCTGAAGGTTCAACCGCACATGGCAATGGAGCAACCTTTGGAGATGCGGTCTCATGGTGACCAACAATAAGTTCATATGCCATTTGTTCCCTCATGATCCTGGAGCCCTGCTTTGGAATCAGGTTTTTCCAACCCTCATAGGTAGATAGTCCATATTCATGAAACTCGTTAGAGCGGCGGATATTCATTTTTCGTCCTCGATTTCGTAAACAATAGTAGTGCCACAAGAAGACGGTGAGCAGGACTTCCCTGGAAGTGGGTTGTATGCATGTTACAATATTTTGAGAGATAGAGCAGAGTATCTGCATTCTCAACAGTACCAGACCGTTTGGGGGGGGTGTTCGAGTGGTGATTACTGAGCTTGTCACATTAAACTCGAATATTTTCACTAGCAAGCATTCGTAGTTTATCAAGTTTTTTTTCTTACATTCAACTTTTTCTATAAAAAAAGTAACTAAAAATTGGTCTTTCGCAATAATTAACTAATAAAATAAGGTTAGTCAGAGTGAGCTAAAAAATAATCAAATTAGACTGACGTATGCCCTGGTACGGCCGAGAGTGGGGAGAGTCCGCTCTCCCTCTCGAAATGCTCTCACATGGCCACGCGTATATAGCCTCTGCCAGGGAAGTCCAACTCACTGCCTTCTCGTGGCATTACTGTTGTTTACGAAAATGAGAAAACGAAAAGCGAATGACCGGCGCTTTAACCGAACCCAAAAACAATGGTGCACATGGGCTCCAGGATCCTGCGAGAACAAATGGTGTATGAACCAATCGTTGGTCACCGGCTACCATGGGACTGCATCTCCTTACGATGCTCCACTGCCTTGTGGGTCAGCTAACAGCTATTAAATTTGAAACCACCATATCCTGAAAAACATCTTCAATAATAGAACTACATGCACTAAAGTATATAGTGCTCTTCTAACTGTTTTGTTAAGGGTACTAACCCCTTACCATGTTTAATTTGCTTTCAAGAAATGAACAGAATCAATAGCCTGACTCAAAAAGTGCATCTTAGGGACAAAAAAAAGAACATGTACTTAATCAATGAATTATATTTCCTCATCATTCAACAAACTAATAAACAGTTTAAATGTACATGTTATGATATGGCCATCATATACCAGTATATTTTACTGTTAACAATAAACAACAGAAACAAGACTGAAAGATACAGGTAATAATAGTAATAGGAAAGACTTATACAATCTAGTCGAATAAACTACTGATCACAGAATAGACTATTAACATATATTTTAGATTTTAATCATCTTCTGGGACAAAAATTTCATTTTCCTCAAGAAACTCTGCTCCATTTCTACTTATCCATGCACCAGCGCAAATGGAGGATATAACAACACATGTAATTTTGATCAATCCTAGAGGAGTTGTTAAAGGTCTACAATGAAGAGCACCAGTTGATGAACATGAACCAGGTTCACCGGAATAGCACTGTATTCCTCTTGTAGGCAGACTTTTCCGATATTGGCAACGTAGGACATTTTCAATCAACCGCTTACTTAACATCTATAAAATTATTTTTTTAGAAAACCATTTAAATTAAATGCTTCTTCATCTACGTAAATATGAATTGATATCAAGCAAAAACTGGAAGTGTAACTTTAAGATAGATTCTATTTACTAAACATTTTGTTTTATAGCTGTCAAATTTATTGTCCACGGTTAAAATGTGGGATATCTTCGACGATCAGTAACCAAGTAATCACTGTCTAGTACCAGGGCATTTGGAGGCAAAGCTGTAGCACCCGATAGGGGCCCCAAATGTTCTGGTACGGCCGCGAGTGCAGAGTTCACTCACACTCTCGAAGTGCTCTCACATGGCCACGCGTATATAGCCTTTGTCAGGAAAGTTCTACTCAATGCATTCTCGTGGCAGGGGTGTTGTTTACGAAATTGAGAGGACGGAATGCGAATATCCGGCGCTTTAACCGGGTTGGTGGACACCGAGAGTCCACCTGAGGGAGTTGGAAAACCCTCATTTCAAACTAATGGTGCACATGGGCTCCAGTATGCTAAAGAAACAAATGGCGTATAAACCAATTGTTGGTCGCCGGCTACTATGCGACTGCATCTCCTTACGATACTCCACGTTTTGCAGCCGTATAGTAGAACAGAACGAACTATCACACATTAAACTCATCCTTTTATTGATAGAAGGATATCTCACCATCGTCATAGATGATGTAGTTTGGCAAGAGCAAAACGAGCTTTCTGAATCCGTGCAGAGATTTCGTTAGACACCAACCCATCAGGGCGAAGCGTTCGACTACTTCACTCTCCTTAGTTCAGGTGTCGACGCAGGCCACAAGCGTATAATCAGTATACCTGACGCACATCAGTACTTTTATTACGGCGGTCAATGAGCAAGATAATAGGTAATGAAAGCGCCTACAAAATAAAAATACTTTGATAATTATATGAACTTTCCGTAAGAACCCTTACACATGGTTCATATATTGCCTATTAAGAAGTTTACATATTTCTCAATTGTCATGTACGTGTGGAAGTAGGCAGAGAGACCTGCTGTGAACAAGTCTTTTGAGAGGGAGTAGTAGATGTGAAGTTCGTGAAAAGAGGAAAATGCAATATTTGTGGAAATCCAGAGGTCTTTTCAGTGAGTTTCATCTGAATATTTGTAGGATTATGCACAGATCGTATTTTTTGGAAGCAATTTAAGGAGTAGACCAACCAGTAACTACTAATATACAAATTCTAAGTTTTTAAGCTCATAAGAAAAATTAATGTGAAATGTCTCATTACCTCGTCTACGGTAAGTGAAAAATAGCAACTCCCAGTTACAGTTCCGCCTAAATAAACATATTTTCTCAAAAATGTTACTTGGCTTTCTTTGAAATTAATATTTATTTACTGTTCTTTAAAGAACAATTGTTTGCTAGTAATAGTGAGTTTGTTGTGATCCAATGAGATACTTATTACAGAACAAAATGCGCTTTAAGGATACAAATTTAGGTTTATTACTTAGTAATGAAGTTAAATGATAAAATATATTTAAAGTGGAAGACCTATTACACCAAATTCATACTCACCTTGAACGACCACTAACATTAGATAAAGCGCTTATTTTGTATCCAATATCTATGAAGAGCGTGAAAAAACAGTAAGAGCTTTGAAGTCACTTCTTGATGTTTCAGAAGGGTTCATGGTCATTGTTGGTTATCAAAGCTTGGTTGTCCAGTTACTCAACTACAATAGCCCTAACGTTTTGGTAGTTGTTTTGCGGCGCACTTTCTAAAAGGACAATGGTATTGTTTCTCATTGAGTTACTTAACTGTTTCGATCGTAAATTACGCATCAAAACTGCTGTTTACACTTTATTTGAATCTTCTCCAGTTAAAGTGATATTGTATTGAGTGTTTCGATTCTGCTTTTGTGTATTTATTGCATAAAAGCGTACTTGGTCGACTTTTACTTGATTAATTTAGTCAAGGTTTTAGCATTCTTTTACATATCCTCTTTCTAAACTCCATTACGATGAGCGTTTAAAACGCTTAAACCTTTTCCCCTTGTCGTATCGTAGGACTCGAGGTGACCTTATACTGGCATTTCGTATCTTTAATTAAGATTTGGGTGTTAATATGTCTTATCTTTTTGCTCCCTCCAGCACTAATAATCTCCGAGGTCATAGCAAGAAGATTCATAAACCACGATCTAATAAACTCAAGGTGCGGTTCCGTTTTTCTCATCGAGTAGTCAATGATTGGAACGCTTTGCCCGAACAAGTGGTATTAGCCCCATCAGTGAATGTTTTCAAAGAGAAACTGGACCTTCACTGGAAGGCAACCTGTCAGGATTAACGCAGGTTCATTAACCTACTATCCTTATTACTGAAGACTGAAGACTGATTTAAACTGCGGTCATTCTTTCTTTCCTTATGCAACTTTCAATGTTGCTCTGATAAATAAAACTTCAGTTTCAGTTATAAAAAAATGCTCTTTGGGATTCCTTACTGCACACGCTCTTATGTGCTACAAAACATTCTGTTACGCAAATGGTCCCCAAAATCTACAAGCAATCCACGTTCATTAAAAATCACACTCTTGCTAAGCCGCAAATAGCGCTGTTGGGCAGAATACAAACGAACTAATAACAACAGCGCGTACAGGCAATACAAACATATAGGAAACATATGCACGAAGGCTATAAGAGAATACAGGCATCAGTATCAGATAAAACTTACCGACAAATTCGTCTCCAGTGCGTTACGCAGCCTCTCTTCGACAAGCCAAAACACGAGTATTTCAACTGCTAGGTCTTGATAGCCCGATCAATAACGACGGTGACGTCGCTAACCTTCTGGCTGAACAATACTCTCGGACATTTCAACCGACCCACATCAACTGTGCTGATGAGAGCTTCATCTGCAACTGCACAGGAATTTCCGAAGTGAGAGTGAGCGCTGAATTAATATTCCGAAAACTGCATGACCTAAGAACAGACCCTGCTATACTGAGGGAAGCAGCTTCGATTCTGGCAACATCGTTTAGCGTGATGTTCTCACACTCGCTAAGCTGAAGCAAACTACCGGATATTTAGAAGCTGGCTCTATCACACCAATTGTCAAAGGAAATTTGAAGCTAACGTTTGATGGCTATTCTCTATATACCTTCGAAAATCATGGAGTCCCTGATATGCGATGGTATACATGACTATTTACTGTCCTTAAGTTTCTTCTCACAGCAACAGCATGTTTTCAGGATGGAGCATCTTTGTATAACCAGCCCGCTGACTGCGGTGTACAGATGGTTAAGCATCCTCGACCACAAGGGTAAGGTTGATACCATATACCTTGATTTCTCAAAAGCTTTTGATAGGGTTAACCATATATGTCTTATCAATAAACTCAGAAATTGGGTATTAGACCACCTCTAATTGATTGGCTCAGTTCATATTTGCAAAATCGACATTTTAAAGTCACGGTTAACCTCAATATATCACGGGCTATGAAATGTCGTATTGGGGTCCCCATGGACTCAGTGTTGGGACCTCTTCTCTTAGTGATTTATACAAATGATCTTCCTCAACAGGTATCGTCGGACTTATTACTTTTCGCCGATGATGTGAAACTTGACCTTTACCCATTAAAGTATAGGCATCTTATAGGTAAACTTCTTATGGCTTACAGTATGCTTAACACTTCTGTACATCCTCTTTAACACCTACTTAAGCTTAGTCCCAATACTAACCTAAGGGATAACACCCGGAAATTGGAGATACAACATAGCAGAACGGTCTGTAGACACAACTTCTACTTCTAAAGAATTGTCAGTTGCTTGAATTCGCTGCCGACCGAGCTGGTCCAAGCGACTTCCCAGGAGTCCTTTAAGAGGCAACTTGATCTATTCCTAAGGACTGAGGATAGTATCTTACTATGATCTACCAATGTTTTTCCTCTATTGTCATTAATAAATTTAGGTTCCTGCTTGGAAGTATTTGTGACCCACTGCTACTAGACATGGAAGCCCGTTAAGCGGAAGCTTCTATTCTGTTCACAACTATTTGAACCGTTTAGTGCTTGTGACTAAAATAAATGTGTTAGTCTGCCAGCGGTAGGTTTCACGAATCCAACAGCTGTCACAATATCTGGTTTCAGTTAGGTTGGTTACAATTTGGAAAACAATAAGAATAAATTAGAACTCCGGAGATACAAGTAATAATGATTATTTGAAGTACATATTTGATTATTAGTCTACCCATTAATAATAGACCGAAATTTAATAGTAAATGAGAGAAGAGGATGGCTAAGCAGAAATAATAAATAAGGACAAAAGATTAAAGATATGTTGTGTGATAACGAAAGTGGAAGTTGTACATTAGCAATATATTCTCTGTCGTCCTACATTAGATACGAATAACTTGGCATTGAAATTCGCCTAATAGATAGCTGAGATTCGATAACCTGTCAATAATAAACTCAAAGGATAAACCAGTGCAGATGAATTCGATTTGGTCGATTTGATAAAAAGTGTCTGTGAAAACTTGTGTTGACTGGTTAAGAGATGGCTGAAAACACCTGAATAATGTCATAATATTAATAATGAAGTATTCATTTACTTAATCATTTTGTGTATACATTGTATTTCCTTTTATTTTACATTGAATGGTGAAAAACATTGTTAGTTTGAAAAGATAACCTCATGCTCCTACTGTACTGTTCCAAGATCCTAATAATGACGTATTCGACCAATAGTCTGGTTCTTCTATACATGAAACCAGATGAATCCGCCGGCATGATATTGATGAAACCCATTTCTAACACAAAAACAATTTCTGGTTTGCTTATTACTATTTATTCGCCTAGTCGTACCTGGTTGGATACAATCAATACAGTTTATGAAAAATTCCCTTCAGAAAAATCCGAAAGGTTAAAGGTCAACTTCTGACAGTGTTAACATCAGTAACCAGCTAAAAATAAACCGGCTCAACTGTCTGTGTTAACGTATACAAATTTCAGTTCAACAATGGCCTTGATGGTAGATGCTTCGGCAAA